ATCTATTGTGGGGGTCCTTGACATGAAACGTTCTGGGAACCCCTGGCTCAGCCAATGTAGATGTTTATAAAATGAATTGTGTAAGGTTAAATTATATTTTAGTCATTTTAATTTTAGCCTACAAATTTGTTTGTAAGTACACAAGCAATTAAACCTATATTTCATATTACATTACATCTGTTGTATCTATTTTTGCATTTCAAGTTTTTGGAAATAGTATGTTAAATATTTGAATTTTACTTAGAAAATTGTACAGATGTTGCTATAAATATTTGATGTTTGTTTGATACTTTTTGTAGAAGATAGAAGTCATGCCATTTAATATAAAGACACAGTGTTAATTAGTATATTCTCTTTGACAGCAGCAGTTTCCTTCAGTCACCTCATAGAATGAAACTGTAAAATGGGGAAATACACCAAAGCAATGACGAAAATCCATGTGTTTAAAAACATGTTAAAGAGCCGGCACGGGGGAACCTACCCTTTAAATGGCTGTAAAGATAAGGAGTCGAAATGGTGACCTCACCACCTTCAATCTCTTATCAAAACAAACCAACTTGCTGCAGGGAGGCCAGTGTCAGGGGACGACTGGGCTCTTCTGAAAAGTATGTATGTAGTTGTGTAAACATTAGCTGTATCAATAAATAGCAATAAGGAGTTATTCATTTAGGGCTGAGTTTTGGATCATTAATCAATTAGGTTATTGCAACAATTCTGTTATTGCAAAGAAACATACAGAAAAACATAGAGAAAAACAAATATGTGGACCTGGGCACACAGTAAAGCTGTTAGCATTAAAGACAAAGCACGAACTACAATATAGTTGTTTTGTTGCACCAGATCAATGCCACCATTGTAAGCAGAGGAACTTCTATATGTTTTACAGCAAAGAAAAAGAGTAACTTTTATAACAAATCGTATGGGAAGGAATCTCTTGGAAATATACACATCAAAGCTTTTAACTTGGTAAATTTTAATAAAAATAACAATAAATGAGAATGGTAGAAGGAAGCAAAAAGATAGTTCTTCAACAATACATAAGGAGACATCAGTTATTAGTAGAAAGATGCAATCAACCCAACAGAGCAAGTTAAAGTATTTCTGATTCTGAAAAACTGCTAATATTTGGATTAAGCAATGTTGTACCATTAAACAAAAACACAGGTTTTAGCAGATGTAATTGCCTGTAAACAAAATGATAAAATGAAGTCTTACTTGTTTCTGTATTTTTTTGGTGAGAGCATCCAGAGTGTGTCAACATGCAGGCTGAAGATATGAAAGATTGTGTGTGAAGTATGGATCCTGTCCAGAACACAGTGGCTCTGCCCACCTCACAGCAATATCCACTCAGTGTGACGATGGTCATGGTGTTGCTATTTTAGAATGAACACTGAATGCTGTTTATCAGCAGTTTATACAGAACCCTTAATTGTGTGATTAGTGTGGAGTAATAATTCCTACATTGCAAAGCCATCCTCAGACTTTCCATGATTAACTTGCTTAATTAATAATGCTAAGACTATTTTATATATGTGTTTTGTCATTCAAAATGCAGCAATGCTCGATGCAAATTCACAAATGTGTTCAACATGTTCATAGTCCCTATTAAATGTTCATGTCCTGTGTACGCATAGTGCAAAAGAGAGTGAACTGCTCTCATTGAACCACCCTGTTTCAATAAAGTTGAATGAATGAATGAATGAAACAATATATAGATACACAAGAGTGTCTTTTTCCTTGGATTGGTATGTTTATTAGGGCAGAAACGGCGGCAAAGGTTCAAAGTTTATGAATTGGCAACAGGTTGTAATACTATTATGTATTACATCAATAATAAACAATAGAGGCCACTGAGTGAGTGTAGACACCCATAATTGTTCTTAGAAGGAGCAAGTTGTGTTAAGATGAAGAATACTCAGTTCTTCATCTTACTCACTCAAGTGTCAGTTTACAGTTTAGTACAGTGGAGAAGTTTCTGAATGTTTGAGTACATCATAGCTACACTTAAATACCTACAAAGTTAGATTATTTTCATGTTTTAACTACAATTTGAAGAGTTCTGTCTCCATGTGAGTCCAAATGACAATAATAAACATTTTACACCACTGTTATGGTTCTAGTTTTAACAAGTGTTATAAAGTATGAATTAGAAAAGTTTGCTTTTCTTCAAAGTTGCCACTTGGTGGCAGTGTTGTAATTCTCAATTTTCTGATTTGCTCTCTTGTGGAAGATGTGTGAGCGGTATTGTCCCTACATGTACTATGTGTTGTCTTCCTCCATGCTTGCATGTGTGTGTTTTATTTGCTCCTCTATGTAAAAAGTGAGTATATCACGAGACAGTGTTTGCTTAGGCTTGGAGTTGCAGGTGTGTGCTTGTAAATTCTACAAGAAGTGAGACTTTCGTTTCAGTGAGCCCCAACACGTGTGACCCTTTAAGTGCCAACATGTGTATTCATGTGTGTGTTTCTATGTATGTGAGTGCTGTGTGGGGGTTCGGGGGTATGGATTATTTCGCCCTGGGTCGTATTCAGAGAAGCCAGCCAAGCGTGAGGCGGAGAGGAGAAAAGGGTCATTGTTGTGGTCCAGATGAGTGTCATAGGTGCCTCAGAAAATAGATTCACTCATGGGGGTTTAACAGAAACACACTTGCCACAACTGCCTGAC